AGCACTAGTACGTCCCTGGTGCACATGCATGGGAAAAGCCACATGTGGATGGACAATAGGGGGATGAGGGTGGGGTGTGTAATGGAGCCCATGAAGGGCTGGGGGGTAGGGTGCTGGGGAAGGGACTGGAACAGCTGCCCATCCGCTGGCTGTTGGTGTCAGCGTGAGACTAGCTGCCCATCTCTGCTCTCTCCCTGAACAGGAGGCGGTGGGGGGGGGAGGGGGTGCTGGCAGTTCCATAGCCGGATGGGCACAGTCCTCTGCTCACCGCTGGTACCGGTCCAGGCAGAGCCTGCAGAAGAGGGATCAGAAGCAGGGAGCCGCTGCCGGGGTGGGGAGAGGCCAGGAAGAGCCCGGGGCGGGGAGGTGAAGCAAACGGCTTCCTGGAATGCGGCGTGTTTGCCGGTGGCGGATCCCAGTGCGGCTGAATCTGAGCTGTAAACAGGGCTGACCTGCCATCAGTCTCCGAACAGCGGGACCGACACGCTCAGACCAGAGGCCCGCTGGGTCTCCGTCGGTTCCTTTCGACAACGCTATTGCCTGTTCAGCCCAAGTCTGCCGATGGCGGCTTGCCCAGCACGCCCGCTAGGCACTGTCCTGGTGTCGGCACACTTGTGTTTCCGACGGTCTTACACTTGTCATCTCACACTGTCCTGTGTGTGTGGAACCCAGGTTTGGTTCCGCCTCTGGCGCGGCGTGCAGGAGCCTCTGCTGTGGGAGCTAAAGCCAGCGGGTGCTTGGCTAAGGCGGTAGAGCAGACGCCTTCGTCTCTCAGCGGTCTCTGTGCCGCTAGGTAGGACCACCTGCCACACCCAGGAGTGTGGGTTACGTGACCATAGGACTTCTAAGGCTTTAAATGGCCGTGACACTGTATCTTTGCTTGGTTTGAAGCAGGTACTTGCCTTGAAACTGTCCGTACTCAAGTCTAATTGACTAATTGTCAACAAACCTGGTTAAAATCAGACCCTGGAACTGACACTGAACTCAAGGGCTAAACGTCTCCTAAGGAAACCCTGCGCTGTGGTCTCATGCGCTATTGTCATCCGTGGCAAGGAAATTAATGCCATTTTCCCCCAGTTACAGGGGGCTACCGCCTACCCTCTGCCCAGGTGAATGGGGGTGTGCGCCAGCATTTGTGAACATCCCTGCTTTGGAAAGTAGCTCTGTGAATGGCATTTAAAACCAGTTCGTTCTCTTATCCTCACACATGCTACATCTAGACTGGCGTGATTTTCCGCAAATGCTTTTAACGGAAATTTTCCGTTAAAAGCATTTGCAGAAAAGAGCATCTAGATTGGCACGGACACTTTTCTGCAAAAGCATCCGTGGCCAATCTAGATGCGCTTTTGTGCAAAAAAGCCCCAATCGCCATTTTTGCGATCGGGGCTTTTTTGTGCAAATAAATCTGAGCTGTCTACACTGGCCCTTTTGCGCAAAAGGACTTTTGCCCGAACGGGAGCAGCATAGTATTTCCGCAAGAAGCACTGATTTCGTACATGGGATCGTCAGTGTTCTTGTGGAAATTCAAGCAACCAGTGTAGACAGCTGGCAAGTTTTTCTGCAAAAGCAGCTGCTTTTGCGGAAAAACTTGCCGGTCTAGACAGCCATGTAGTATGAGCTTTTGTGGGTAAAACCCTCATCATTGGGTGAGTTTGGAGTGGAAATAACAAATCAAATAACTTACCAAACAAATATAATAACAAAAGTGAGATCTATAAACAGTACAAGTACCTGCCAATTGTAGGACCCCTGTTAATGAGGCTGATTGGGGGGGGATGTGCCCCATTGTGCTGTAATGGGGGGGCTGTCTGCTTTGTAACCCAGTGTCCCCACCTGGCTGGGATGTGCGATTCCCACTGACTCACCCACATGTGGATTGGCCCAGACACCTAGTCCTGGCCTGAGCAGTGAGCAAAGTTCTACCCAGGCGGAGAGACGAAGGAAGGGAGATGGAGACGGCCACCTGGCTGGAGGGCAGGGCCTGGGAGCTGGGCAGTAGGAGTATGGGGAAGCATGGTGGGAGCAGACAAACCAGTATGGGGGTTCAGGGGCCTGTGACCCCCACCCAGGGAACTAGGCTGTTGGCCTAACGTATGCCTCCATCGAGCCTACGCTGGGCTGTATCTTGGAGAAGCAATAAACCCGTTGGAGTAAAATCTGGCTGTGGATGGGGGTGCAGGGTTAGGGGGCTCCCATTCCTAGCGTTTGATGTGACAATGCAGATATTAAAGGCAGGGGAAATTGGCTTTGTAATGCGTTACCAGTTAATGGCTTTATTTAAGGCCAGGGGAATTGAATTCTAGTTCTGCAGCCTCTCTAACTGGGTGGTGAAATTCCTTTGTGGAAGAACAGCTCCTTTTAAATCCATGCGTGAGACCAGGCAGGTTTAAATGTTCCCCTCCAGCCGTGGGAGTCCCAGAGCTTTGAATTGCCAGTGCTGCGAACGCCTGCTGAGATCTGACCATGCAACTGGCGCTTGCTCTGCCTGCGCCATCACACCTGTTCTGCAGGCCCGGGCCCGCTCCCAAGGACGTGGTGCAAACCCGCTGAGTTCCCCTGGTGCAGCTGTGGCCTTCAGTGAGCCTTGCTGGGAGCCTTGCCGACGGAGCTTGGCTGACGGTTCCTTAGCGGGCAGGGAAGGGAGCGATATTCCAGCCCTGGGGCCGAGGGGATGGGCTGTGACTAGAGACGAAGGGGGATGCGACTCTTGTCTGAAGGTGGCAGCCCCTGGAATGGAACAGCACTTGGGCCGGGAGTTTCGGCGGGTGGAGGTGTCCTCTAGCCGGCTCAGATCTCCCCAGAGCTGGAGCCGTGGCTGGAGCTTGTGGTGGGAGCCAGAACGCAAAGCCAGCCCCCTTCATGGCTGCGGTCTGAGCCCCGTGACTGGGGTGCACGGGCTCTAGTGGCGCCAAGTGCCCCTTGGCTCTGCAGGCTTAGCACTGCCGTGGCGCTAGGGGGGCCCGGAGCAAGCGCACAACTCACCCTCTCCTTCTGCTCTCTCCCCAGATGGCTCTCGGAACGCCTCCAGCGCGTCCACCCCCAGTGGTGACTCCTTGCTCCCCTCAGTCCTGACCCTGCCGCCGACCCCCCTGGCAGCCGACCCCGCCTGCCTGACGCTG